GAAAAATCATGTTAGATTGATCTTCAAATCTTAAAAACATTACCCCATATTATTTAGGGCAAATTAACTCAATATCTTCTTCGCTGATATGTGGAGTCCAATAAGTCAGAATACTTTGATCTCACAATGATAGTAGGCTTCAACATTTGGTACTTTAAGAAATTGTGAATTCCAACTCTCAATTGAAGACTTCAACTCATTTTTTTTTCAAGTCTATAAATCTAATTTTTGCCTAAAGGTCGAGTTCTCCTACTAACACAAGAGAAGTGTGAAACTTTATCCTTTTATACCAAGATTTCACCGATTGTAACAAGCCGTCGGTCAAAGACTACATACCAACAGAAAACATCAATATTGATTGACAAGCCTAACATAGGGTATGAAATGAGTGAATAGATGAAGTATCGAAAGTGAAAAGAGAAAATAGTTAGAGTATCAAAACTATTTTTTTTCATAAAAAATAGTAATAAGATAATTAGAGCTCATATTTTCAACAAAAACACGACTCACCAAATATAACAACAATAGAAAATAGAGAGATGAAAGAAAAATAGACAGAGAAAGTTGTATAAGAGAAGATTTGCGAAATGAATTTCGTCAAATTGAAAAAAAAAAAACACGAGACTCCCAAAAAATGAGAGGAAAAAACTCCCTTACGAGGAGAAGCTCCCAAACGGGAGAACAAAAAAGATAACAAACACAAATCTACCACATGCTACAACTAGAAACAAAACAAAATAAACAAAATAAAAAACCAACACCCTCCCTACCGAACATCAAGCCCATCACCCCCACAAATCGAGCAAACACCCATGCAAGGTCAACCGAGAAAGGCCCTGAGAACTACACCCCACAAAAGCGGAACCGACAAACCCCAAAGGTCAACCTGGAATCGAGCCGCAGAACCGAAGATCACTCCTAGAGTACCGCATACCCGTCCAAGTTGGTCCACCACCACAGCCCCCTCCAAGCACACTCCGGAGCACTCCACTGCCTGGAGTCACCGCTAGGAGGTCCTCGCTATCCAAGCACCAGGGAAGGCTGGGAAATGAAGGATCCATGGTTGAACCACCACCACGTACCACCGGAAGGCGCTCGTGACGACCATGCCTGCCATGGCGCTCGAAACAGAGCGATACCACTACGGAGCTGGAGAGCCGAGACCGTCTTGGCCACACCGACAAACTTGGTGTGAGCCAGATGTTCGCTAGAGGCGTGCGGACGATGGCAGCCCGAGGTGAGGCCCACCCATGCAAGATGACGACTAAGGTTCGACTGAATAGGAATTGGGGATTTTATTTTTTTATTTTTGATGATATAGTCGACTGTCTACGTTCTACAAAATTTAGTTCACTATAAAAAGAGCTCAATTTAGTTCTTTTTGGTTTTTTTTCCCTTTTCTTTCTCTCTGAGGATTTTGGACAATGTTATATTACCAAAACCAGAGACCAAAATCTACTTACCAACTACCGAATAAAGAGTCGCTTGTCGCCACAAATAATGCACATAAGAAAATGTAAAGGAATAAAGGATCATTCGTAAAAATCAAGCACATGTTACTGAACCCCCACATGTACATTAACCACCAAGAAGACCAAGTACTTGGCCAACAAAGAGCACCCTGCTGCTCACAGCTTTCTCCCACGACCAACAAAAACGGATGATCAACCTCAAAATCCGATTCCGTTTGCTTGATGCTCGACAGAGCACAACCTATGTTGGAAAATGGTAGAGGAGAAGTAAAAAAAAAAAAAAAACTTTCTTATATTAATCTTCTTCTTCTTGACTTCTTCACTCTTGCAACTTACAAATGACTCACATATGGTATTTATAGGTATAAGAATACCTCTTCAAACTCCCCTAATTACTAGAT